CTGCTACGACCCAAAAAATCAACAAATCGACACCGAATGTGTAATCACGTCCGATGGTTGTTTCGGGGGGCGGTTCTAGATTTTGGGGCCTTTTTGGAAGGACCGAAAAGCATGCCGCGGCATGGCGCTGGAAAGAATGAAGCCAACGCTGCAGCGGGAGCACGATTCGGAACGGGCGGAAGCGCGGAGATGAGGCCAGCGCTGCAGCGAGAGCACGATTCGGAACGAGCGGTAGCTCGAAAATGAAGCCAGCGCTTCAGCGAGAGCAGCACCTTTAGAGAGAAAAAACAAAACAACAAACAACAAACAACAAACAACAAACAACAAACAACAACCAACAACCAACAACCACAACCACAACCACAACCACAACAACAACAACAACAACCGCAACAACAACAACAACAACAACCGCAACAACAACAACAACAACAACAACAACAACAACAACAACAACATCAACATCAATCAGTTTAAGACTGATCGCCCTTATATGCCCGAGTGTCCAATAACGCGAATTTCCCAAACCCTCGATACCCGCCCTCTTCGTCTTCGATCGAACCCCTTTTGGGGGGCACACCTTTCTTCCCTGCAGGCCGGGCCCCGGCAAGCGGCGGGGCGGCAGCGGACCGTCGGCCTGGCCAGCGGCAGCGTCGGCGGGGCGGCCGCGGACCGTCGACCCGACCCCAAGAAGGACGGACAGGGGACCAACCACGACGACGACGACAACGACGACGACGTCGAAGACGACGGCGACGACGTCGACGGCGACGACGAGCGAAAGCGAGAGCGAGAGAGAACGACAGCAGGGCCACGAGGACACGAAGTAGGGCACGAAGGCCGACAGCGGGGACACGAAGGGGATGCGTATGGGCCCGAAGAGCGCGAACGACAGGGGGCCACGAAGTGCAGATAATGCGGGGCCACAGGAGGCAACTATGGGGCCACTGAGGGTAGCAACTGGGCCACGTAGGACAGTGAGGGAGACACAGATGGCGACAGCGGGGCCACGAAGGGCACGCACATGGGGCAACAACGGACGCAACTCCTGGGTGCCTGGGTGTCGGGAGCGCGGCGCTTGGGCACATTGCAAGAAATCCCAACGCAAGGCCATTCTTCAGTAAGTTGCAAGCAAGTCTCCAGCGAGAGCGCGACTCCAGAGCGCCGCGAGAGCGATTCCTGAAGAAATTGTAAGGAAGTCCCAAGCGAGAGCGCGATTCCTGAATAAAATGCGAGGAAGTCTCGGGCGGGAGCGGGGGTCCTGGCTAAATTGTAAGGAGGTCTCAGGCGGGAGCCGTTGTTGTAACCAGGGGGCCAGGGGGCCAATTTGAGCAGGAAGACTTTCCCTGTCAAAAAACAGGGTGCGAGCGTCGAGGGGCACACTTCGATTGAGTAAAAACAATAAGCACCGGTGGGGGGGATCAACAATAATTATTCTTCAGAAATGAGAATTCAACAACAACAACAACAACAACAACAACAACAACAACAACAACAACAACAATCATTTTACCCGAACGCTCAGTGTTCTCACCAGTGCCAGGGTTTTCATACGACGCCCGCCAATACCCCCACTTTGTGGGGGGGCCGGTTCAAGCTCTACCAAATTTCCAAACGACTCTTCGCCACCACCCACACCCAGCTTCCCGCCCTATGACGTTCGGACACTTCACTTCGTGGCATGCGGACGACCGTGGCTACTACACTGGCGCATGGTTTCAATGACTTCTTGTGGTAACATCTTGTGGAAACTAGCTTAGTATACGACGACGACGATTTGAAGGGCCTACGGTGCGAAAAATGATTTTATGTTGCGCGGTGCTAAAATTCCTACGAAACCCAATGGTTTTTGAAGATTTCGGCGTGCGCACGGAAAGAAAAAACGAATGTGTCCCGCATGGTATTATTTGACAGGGATGATGGCCCTGGCAGGTGCGCAACCGTTGTTGGAGAAGTTCGAAGCACGTGAAGAAGTTGATCGCAAAAGCCCGTTTGACAGAAATGTTTAAAAAAGTTGGGTTTCCTGCAAATCCGCAAGAGCGCGCGGGATGAAATTGTGACAAAAAAAAAAAACAAAAAAATTGGTTTTTTGATGTTTTTATGTTGAAATCGTTACGAACACTAAGGTTTTGGAAGGATTTCGTCTTGCGCGCGCGAATGTCCACTTTACCTTATTTTTTGCAAGGGATTCTTGAAGTTTGGTTATTTTAGAACAAGAAATTTCATTTTATAGTGTTTTTTGCAAGGGACAGCGGGGGGGAACAAAACAACCGGATCTTGATGACATCGTATTACCTGAGGCTTCCTCACGAAAATGATGAAAATGTAGCTGCGGCCTAGGCGCGGCGAGGGGGTCGCGCACCAGGGGTCCCAACAATAATTATTCTTTAGAATAAATAATGTTCAACAAGAAAACTCCTGGGAATCCTGTGTAAAACATGTACGCGGAGGGGGACCGAATATTTCCTGGACGCCACCATGGGGAGAGAGGAGAGTAGTATTCATATTGTGTATCTGTAGAAGGCGAAGGGCCAGGGGATGCGCGCCTGCTTTCAAGCGCCTTGCATGCGCTGCCCACAGAGGCGCAGGTCCGCGCTCGCCGTTGCCGAGGGGATCAACAGCGGGAACACCTATCAAAGCCGTTCTTCGCCTTGAGCCCACGGCAGCCCTGCACGACCCCTGCGTCCTGAGGCAGCAATGGCACGGCAGCCTCCTGCCGTTTTGGCGCGGACGCTGGCTTCTGACACCGCGACTGTCTTGAACGATATCCTCTTTCCGACGGGCGAGATCGTTCCACGTAGGCCCGGTTCGGGCCACCGGCTTCATTCCACCTGGAGCGCCCGCGCTGGCGTCTTCGTCGCGTCAAGCGGCGCGAGCCTGCCGTACTCTTGCCAAGTCGACGACTCCCTGCCTCCAGATTGAAGCTATCAGTAGCTGCACCGGCAAGTGTACTTCAGTGCCTCACCGTGGGCTGCGGAGTCGACGACCACCCCTTCGGTGAGCGAATACCCGCTGCTAGCAGTGGGGCACAGTTCGCGCTGTGCTGTACCACACTTCTGCGGCAGCTCATGGGATCCTCCCATACCATCTTGTTGGCTCTTGCGAATCGATGCTAATGGCGTTCTAAAGACGGCACTGCGAGGACATGCAGGGCTCCCATGATCTGGTACCAGAGAAGACCACCCCTGCGGTGAGCTAAGACCAACTATACACAGTGGAATGCAGTCCACGCTTTGCTATACCACACCTGTCAGGCACGTCTCGCAGGGGCCGGAGACGGATGCTTGCCGCGCCCTGCCCCGCGAAGGACAAGGGCCCGATCCCAGCAGGACCAGCGCACCCCTGCAGCTCACACCGTCACAGTGAACTGCGCGTGACCTCGACGTTGGCAGCCCTGCGGCGGCGACTGCTTTTGTTGGAGGAGTGTTCGTGTCTCGGCGGCCACACAGTCCGTGGGGCACAAACCTCATCATAAGAATCACGAGCCCGCTGCTGGGGAAGTGTAAACCACCCGCGAAGAGACGCGCTCGGCTCTCCAGATCGAGGTTCCGCCCACGCCAGCGGTAAGGAGGAGGAGGAGGAAGAGGGGCATGTCCCACAGCTGATGCGTGTTCCACTGCGACTTCGAAGGAGGTGGAGGTGGAGGAGGAGGAAGAGGAGGAGGAGGAAAAATAGAAACATGGAGCGCAACCACACTACTTCGCACTGCCTGGCCTCAGCAAATGTGCGAAGCAGAACGGCGCCGGGTAGGCAAGGAACCCAGCGCGGCCTCCTGACGCGAGCCGACCCGCGATAGGTCGACCCGCGACACGTAGGCTCGTGCAGTGAACCGTGGCCTGAAGGAGGCAAACCCTCCTCCTCCTCCTCCTCTCCCTCTCTCTCTCTCATCCTCCTCTCCCTCCTCCTCCCTCCTCCCTCCCTCCTCCCTCCTCCCTCCTCCTCCTCCTCCTCCTCCTCCTCCTCCTCCTCCTCCTTCTCCTCCTCCTCCTCTTCATCATATTATTATTAGTATTACTATTATTATTAGTAGTACAAGTATTATTATTAGTATCATTATTACTCTTATGATTATTATTGTGCTCATTCGTATTAGTCTTAGTGTTCTTCTTATTAGCCTACAAGTTATTCGTATTATTCTTAATATGTGTAGTATTAGTCTTCGGATTCGTATTATTAGTCTTAGTGTGTGTCTTACTATTGTTATAAGTCTTAGTAGTCTTATTCGTAGTAGTGTTATTATTAATATTATTATTAGTCGTATTATTCTTCTCAGTCGTAGTATGAGTAGTATTCTCATTACGATTAGTAGTATGTGTCTTAGTATGTTTCGTAGTATTCCTCTTAACCGTATTATTAGTAGTATTATTACGCGTATTGCTCGTGTTAGTAGTATTATTAGTATTAGTATTATTCGTCTTCGTCTTCTTCTTCATATTATTGTAATTATTAGTACTATTAATATGATTCCTCCTCCTCCTCCTCCTCCTCCTCCTCCTCCTCCTCCGCATCCTCCTCCTCCTCCTCCTCGCGACCCGTGGCCTGAAGGAAAGCAAGCCACCGCTGCCGCTCTCTGCACCGCAGGCTGCTTGGTTATACCTGTGCCTTCGGGAGCGTGCGAAGCAGCGATGGGCCGATTTTCCACCACCACTATCATATGTAGAAGAGGGAGGAGGAGGAGGAGGAGGAGGAGAAGGAGGAGGAGGAGGAGGAGGAGGACCTCCCCAGGAGAAGGAGGAGGAGGAGGACCTCCCCATCCTCCCTTTTCCCCCATCCTGCCTATGGTAGTGGTGGTGGAGAATCGGCTCATCGCGAAGCCCTCACGCCCGGATCAGCGCCAAGCGGGTCCGATCAAATCGGACTGCGGGGGGGCGAAGAGTGCTCCCCGAGCAGCGGCTGCGAGCACAGCACGCTCTGGATTGTAAACGCCAGCCGTGGAGGATCCGCGAGCCTCGCCCACGGAGCCTGGCGGCGGGAAGCGGCGGGACGCGGAAGAGCACACTCGTGCTGCGCGCCCCCCTCGGGAGGCGCACTTCCGAGGCGGACATGTAGTACAAACAGATGGTAGTACTAGGTCGGGCATGTCCTCCTCCTCCTCCTCCTCCTCCTCCTCCTCCTCCTCCTCCTCCTCCTCCTCCTCCTCCTCCTCCTCCTCCTTCCTACAGGGGGTTTTTTGGACGAAAGATAAGAGATTGCCAAAAAATAGACTCCCAGGTGGCCAGAGATGGTCCAGAAAATCTTCCCCAGGCTGTTGTTTCACTGCTCTTGACTATATTCTTCCTGTGGAGGGACAGGCCCGCAGGCAAACAAAGCGCGATGCGTTGTGGAAAAATTGGAATCGAGGAATGAATCAAGTATCTCTAGCCGAATGAAACAAAGAAGAAGGACAATATCTGTTTTGCTGCCAAAACGCGGGTAAAACCAAGAAAGGACACAAGCAGACGAAGCCGGCAGAGCATCTAAAGATACAGCCGAACGGATCGCATTGAGGTCGCCCGCACAAAGAATTTCTGCAAATCTCGTGTCCCTGACAGCTGGAGGGGAAGAGTGCAGGGGCCCCAGGACACACGAATGAACACACACACACACACACAAATGAAAATATGCCGCATAGTTTCCCAGATGTTCTGGGCGTCTGCCTTCCCCCCCCCACTTCCCATACTTTCCCACACTTCGCCCTCCCCCTGGGACTTCGCCTCCGGCTCCTGTCCAAGGCGTACCTTTCCAAGCGCACGCTCGTCGGCACCGCCTCTACCCCGCGCCCTCCGGCCGCCCGAGGCCCCGCCCGCCCGCGCCCTGCCTCCCCAATTAGTGCTTCGCGCGCCCCGCCTAGTTCTTAACCGGAAGAGGCCCCAGGACACATAAACAAAATACACACAAATAACAATATTCCCCATATTTTCCCATATCTTCTGGGTTTCTGTATTCCCCCCCACTTCCCATTATTTCCCATATATCTTCTGGACATCGACGATTACTTTGTGTCTGTGTGTCTTCTCCCCTCCGAATCTGAACCGGAAGAGGCCCGCTCTCGACCCGCCGACCAAAACAATGTTTCGCTCCCCCTCCCGAAAGGATCGGGGAGACGTAAGACCCGGGTACGGGGGACTCGGAAATCCCCGACGAGGTCGTCAAAAAAATGACGAGGCCGAGCCTGCATTTTGACGAGGCCTCCCGCTGCAGACATCCCGCGAAACTCCTCCTCGTCAAAATCCGAGGCGCGGTCGTCAAAAAACGATGGCGAACCCGAGTCCCGGCAAACCCGGGTCTTACGCTCCCCCGAAAGGAGGCACGCCCGCCACCGAGCGCGCGCGCCGCCCCGTGGCACGGGGGGCGACGAGAGCGCGCGGCAGCCGCACGCCCAGGGGGATGCCCACGCCCGGCCCGCGGGGCGCGGGCGGCGCGCCGGCACGCGGCACCGGGAGTCTGACTACCTACCAGACCACCCCAACCCAACCCGAAGACCCGATTTTCGGGTTGGGGGGGGTAAGGGTTCCACGCGTGTTTTTTCGAGGTTTCCCGACCCCCCCCCCCACTAGAAATCGAGGGTAAATCTGAACCTTCGGGTTGGGTTGGGGTGGTTTGGTGGGTGGTGAGAGTCGGGTCGGGCACGCCCTCCTACCGGGGGGGATTTTGGACGAAAAACCAAAAGCACAGCGAAAACGTATATCGGGGAGACGTAAGACCCGGGTACGGGGGACTCGGAAATCCCCGACGAGGTCGTCAAAAAAATGACGAGGCCGAGCCTGCATTCTGACGAGGCCTCCCGCTGCAGACATCCCACGAAACTCCTCCTCGTCAAAATCCGAGTCGCGGTCGTCAAAAAACGATGGCGAACCCGAGTCCCGGCAAACCCGGGTCTTACGCTCCCCCGAGTATAGTAAGGACGCGTGGTAAGGACGGAAGACCCTTGGAGGCCGAAGTCGAAGTGTTCTGGGCGGCAGGCGGCCAATCCCCCAGGGAACCTGAGAGACTGGCCTGCGAAAATTGCTGGGGACGGGCCGCAGAGGCTGAGGCAGGCAAGGACCCAAGGGTACCCTTGAAAAAATCGTTTGTCCTTACTATGCGCGTTGACTGTAGTCACACACACACACACACTCAAAAAAAAAGGACTCCTAGATCGCCAAGAATGCTGCAAACAACGTCCCCAGACTATTTTTGTTTGGCTACTGTCGGGCATTCCTGCAGCAGAGGGACATGCCCGTAACTACAAGAGGGCACGGCCGGGGCTTCCCGAAGTGGCCCGGGAGGCTCCCGAGAGGGCCTCCCGAAAGGCTCGGGGGGCCCCAAACCCTGAGGCCACCCTCGCCTCGCGCCAAAACCGGAGCAAAACCCGCACAGGCATGGCTCCCGGGGCCCAGTCCAGGATCCGCCAGCACCGGGCCGGAAAAGAAAAAAAAAAAAAAAAAAACGGCTCGGAAGGCGCGTCGACTCGGGCCGCATCGGCACGCGAGGTCAGCATCGAATCGCATCGGCCGCGCCAGGGTGCACCAGAGCGCCGTGCGAGCGCCGTGCGAGCGGCGGGCCGCGCCCGGCCGTCGGAGCCTCGGAGCCGAGCCGGAGCGAGCCAGCCGAGAGCGAAGGGCGAAGAGCGGCGACGGAGATCGGACCGACCGCACCGGCACGGGCCCCGCACCCCCGGCCTGCGCCTCGAGAGGCGCCCCCCGCCGTGTCCGCTGGGGCCGCCTCTGCAGGGAGGCCGAGGCGCGGGCGAGACTGGCGGAGCCCGCGGGCGCCAGGTGGCCCGAGGCAGCGAGATTGAAGTCGGGCGTGCCCCCCTGCAGGGGGATGTTTGACGAAACACAGAACATGCTAAAAAGATGCTCCGAGATGGCAAACAAAATACTCAAAAGATCACTGGTCCCCAGACTATCTTTGTACTGTTTTTGGACATTCCCCGTAGAGGGACAGCTCAGAGCGAGACGCCGGTCAGCAGGCGGCGGGGTGCACCGGCAGCGCGGCGGGGGCCACGGAGGCGAGAGAAGGGGCCGGGCGCGAGGGGGGCGAGGGGGGGCAGCCCGCTCGGGCCACGGGTGGGGCGAGGCAGAGACTCTGGAGGCGCGGGTAGGGAAAGCAAGGGCAGCAACGGACTGGGGCACACAGAGACATGCTAATACTGGACGTGCTCCTTGGAGGCACGCGTCCGGCCCGAACGTAGAGTATAACGAGCTTGTAGTAGATTAACCCGAGCAGTACGGCCAGAAAGCGCCCGCCACAGCACGTATACTATATAAGATTTCTCGGTGCGCGCGCCGCCCCTGGGGGGCGACGCACACACAGTGTAAGTATGTTGGGGTGACGCCGATGAACATGTTCAGAATCCGAACATCGAAAACCGAACCTCCTTCAAACCCGAACATCGAAATCCGAAGCTCTTTAAGACCCGAACATCGAAAACCGAACCTCCTTAAAACCCGAACATCCAGAACCGCACCTCGAACCCTCATCCTCAAGAGGGAGGCCCTGGAGGCTTCTTGAACTCTGTCAAAACATGAACACGAACTTACGGGGCTCCGAGCGCGCCAGGAGCGGCGCCAGAGGCGCCGCCAGGGGACGTGAATTCGTTGACACCTCGTCTCCCGACGGAAAAGCAAAACGCTCGAAATTCACAGCACAATCCAGAACGAAATTCACAAGACGGTCGAAATCCGCTGTACGAGGTTGGCGTCATGATTCTGTCTTCTCCGATGAAAACCAAAAAAACTGCAGGGACCCCCCGACCGGTGGCTTCGGAGATGGGGGAGCCCGGTACATCTCCAGAGCCCTGCTGACACCCACGCCGGCCAGCCCCTGTTCGGCCTGCCCGTGCCTCTCTCCGACCCTCCCCACAGAGCCCCCTCCACCCGGGTCTCCGGAGGCCTCCCAAGAGAGGGGTCCGAGCAGACGGGGTGGGGAGATCGTGACGGATCGTCAGGGCGCTGGCGATACATCGGCGGTGCATCGGCGACGTCGGCGATGCACGGTGCCGTCGACGTGGAGAAAGTAGGGCTCCACATCGAGCCGCATCGCAGATGTATCGGCGGTGAGGCGCGATCCTGCGACCACCTCTACTCGGACCCCTCTTGGGAGGGGGCGTTGCAGACCAGGACTTTGAATCTTCCAACTGGAGAGAAAGAAATGAGGAAAGGTAGCTCGATCCTCGGCGGCAGTTCTGGGGCGCGCCGACGTCCTGGTTCGGCAACGTCCCCGTTCAGGGGGCACTGACTCCCTGGACTGCTCGTGACGCTGAGCGCCACGGGGGCCGGACTCGGGGCGGGCGCTGGTGGAAAACAAGTTGTCGGGGAGGACCACAACAAACCCGACTGCGACAAGCGTGCGGTTCAGATAGCGCTGCTGGCTACCGGGCTGCCATGTGTGCTGGGGCATTGAACGCCTTCCCCGGCTCTCCTGGAACACCTCGGGGCCCTCCTCTCGCCATCGTTCGGACGGCCACGCCCCGCGCATTGTTCGATGTCGCGGGTTCTTTGGGGGGCCTGATGATCCAGGATGCTGCTCCTCGATGGCCTTCGCCGACAAAAATGCACGAGTCCGACCGATGCCAAGGGCCATCGTGGAACATGTCCGGGAACTCCTGGGCCACCCGGGGCCGCCCCTGTGTCTGACCCTGCCCTGGCCCAGGCCCTCGGCCCCTGCCCATGGCCCTTGCCCCTGCCCCCTGCCCTCGGCGATGCGCCTCCTGAGACCGGACACCGGCGAAAAGGACTTCTGAGACCGTGGCGTTGCATCTGAGACTCCGAAGTGCGAGCGAGAGCGCCGCGCGACAACCTTGCGTGCCAAGCCGAAAAGACTGGAGAAATCGGCATCACCCGTCTCAAAGGCCCCTTCTCCCTGGGAGACCCGTCTGAAACCGTATGACCCGAGACGTGCAACCGCATATGAAACCTGCCACTGCAAGTCGTACCTCTGGAACACCTGCACGGTTGCATAAGCGAAAGCGCTTCCAGCCAGGCCAACTCAAGCGGGGGCGCCCGATGCCGCAGACCTGCGAGGGTCCTGCCCTTTGTCATCCACCTCCTCCTCCTCCTCCTCCTCCTCCTCCTCCTCCTCCTCCCCCTCCTCCTCCTGCTCCTCCTCCCCCCTCATTCAAGGCGGACTGCGCCACCCCGTTTGCACATCTGCGTGAGCTCTGCACATTGGCCTCGCCGCCAATTTGAATCATTACGTTCTTCATCGCCAAACACGGAAGCGGCAGCGCGCACATGGTAATTCCAGGCGGCATGAGTGCCAATCGCGGGTACGCCGAGCCAGCTTGAGTCCGCAAAGCACAGTGCCCCCCCACCCCCGATGCACGCCGTGTGGCGTCGAGAGAAGTTTCACGCCTTCCGCGCCCCGTGAGCCTGCAACGCACAGCACAGCGCCCCCACCTCCAGCGCACCCCTGGTGGCATCGAGCAAATGCCACGCCTGCCACGCGTTCTTCTCTGGGGCCTTTTGGGGGCCTATTGGGGCCCTCTTGGGTCCTCTGGGCCTGCGGGGCCTCTTAGGCGCGACTGTTCCACCGAGCTCCTCCGCAGAGGCTCGGCGGAGCCATCTTTGGGACCTTCGTGCGGGCCTCGGGGCCGTCTTGGAGCCCCCCCCCGAGCCTATCACGCATAGCGCTTCTACCCCCAGCGCACCCCCTGTGGCGTCGAGAAAATGGCACGCCTGCCACGACCTGCGAGCATGCAACGCATAGCGCCCCCACCCCCGACGCACCCCATGTGGCGTCGAGGAAATGCGTCGCATGCCAACCCCTGCGAGTCTGCAACGCACAGCGCACCCACCGCCAGCGCACCCCCCGTGATGCCAATGAAGGGACACGCCTGACACGCCAGATGAGCGTGCAACACATAGCGCCCCGACCGCCAGCGCGCCCCCTGTTGCGTCGAGAAGAAAGTGCCACGCGTGCCACGCCCTGCAAGCCTGCAACGCACAGCGCCCCCACTCACAGCGGACCCCCTGTGGCCTCGAGCAAATGCCACGCCTGCCACCGCTTTGCGATCCCGCCCGCTATGTATGATGTTTGTGTGTGCGTGGCTGTGCGATTATATGTGTGACTGAACTGCGTACGGCTGTATGCAGCCTAGCGTTGTATTCTGTGCGGCGTGTATGGACACTAGCGTTCTATGGGTGTGTGTGTGTCTCTCTGCTGTGTGTGATGCGTGTGCGTGTACAGTCGAGAAGGAGGAAGAGGGTGAGTATGAGAAGGAGACGCGGGTGCGACGCGTGTGGGAAGAAAACCACACGCCCACCAGGGTGACAACCTGTCTCTTGTCACACCACTCCTGTCCTTACCCTGGTGTCCTAGCTCAGGGGTTCCCTCCCCCAGGAGAGTGTCGACGGACGCTCCCTTCACGGAGCCACGCCCCATGACTAAGCAATTTCGCTACGTAGATGTGATAACGAGAAGAGGATACGCGCGCGCTACGAGAGAGGCGCGCGCAATCCGTTGCCGCTACGCTTCGCGCAACGGCCAAGCCTCACGTTGCCTGGGTTAGACGCGCAGACGCGAGCAGGCTCGCTCAGAGGCAGGGGGAGCGACAGCAATGACTGCTCTTGCACGCAGGATTTCGCAGTGTGACACTCACCACAGTGTTTCGAAACGGCGCTCCCGCTGCAGCGTGGGCCTCGTTTTCAGATCGGCGCTTTGCTCCTGTTGTTAAGACACGCGCTCTCGCCCCAGCGCGGAACACTTTTCTAGACCCGAGACCTTTGCCATCGTTGTCGCCCCCCTCATTTCCCCTCCGCGTTGTCAGCATTTGTGTTATTCGGCGTTGCGACATTGGGCCAAAAGGGGGGGGCAGGGAAGGGGTCTGGCTCAAGACCTCTGCTCAGTGCGGCTGTCTGCGACAGTGCGTCACATGAGGGGAGACTCCTCCTACTCGAAACAGGCGCCAAAAACAGCCAAGATCTACTCCATGGTTATGTTGTTCCCATCCTACTTAAGGACCACATCCAAGAAATAATTTCGAGCACCCAGAAAGCGTCAAAAGAGTGTCGAAACAGTGTCGAAACAATGTCGGGCGAGCGTCTCCCAGGGCCCGACACGTGAAAGCCCTTGAGTTTCGGTACTTTTTTTGGCCGCTCGAAATTCTTCCTGGTGACCAAGGCTAAAGTAGGTAGGAGCATCATAACTCCATGGGGGGGGAGGGGGGGTGCGAGGGCCCGCGCCGACCTACAAAACAGTGAATCAAAAAACGGTCCACCTTCCCCTGGCCCTGCTCCTCCCGCTGTTGCTGCCCCAGTCCCTGCTGCTGTTCGTTCTCGCCCTCCTCCTTCCACGTCCTCCCTGTCCTCTTGCTCATCCTCTGCTCATCCGCCACCTCCTCCTCCAGATGGCCCTGTTTGGAACCTCAGGTCCGCTATGACACGCGTCCCCGGATACAGAAACAACAGCGCCATGGGAAGGGATGGGTGGGAGGGGTAGGATGTCATACATGGCGCGAGCGCACCCAGCTTACCTCTCTCCTCACTCCTCTCCCCTCCCTCCTCCCTGCAACTTTCCGAATGTTGAAGAAAGGCGGGCGTCAGAAGTCCTTGGGCGGGAGCATGCACAGTGATGGTCGCCAACGGCGGGACAGCCCCCGCCCGGCCATGCGTGGACCACATCGTGGCGCCAACGGCCACCAATATTCTAAGATGCCCACTGCCGTGCGCAGCAATCAAAATGAAAAATTCCCCTTCACGGCAGGGGGCTGGTCGCCAACGGAAACATAATCTCCGCCCGGCCATGCGTGGACCATATCGTGGCGCCAACGAACACCATTCCTCTAAGATGCAGACAGCTGTGCGAAGAGTCTGTGTCATTGGGCTGGAGCACGCAGAGTAGTAGCCGCCAACGGCGGGACAGCCCCATCCCCACTATTACATTGTATGGTACTTACCTCCTTCCAAAACAACAACATAATATGAACACTTCTCCACAATTACATATTATGGATACTTCTCTGCTGAATCATTATAACTCTCGAGTAGCCTCCCCAGAAAGAATTATTACATCATATGAATGCCTATCTCCTATCTCGCCCTAATCCTGCCCAGAAGATGTCCCAATCCCCTTCCAAATCTGGATTTTTCCACAGAGGATGGGACTGAACCGTTTTTCTTATGTGCGTTCGTGAGTGATTACACTCTGATCGCTCTCGGTGTTTAAGAAATGGCGTTGTCGCCTAGAGTGGGACACTTTTCTGGATCTCACAGGTATCGCAGGCACTCAGGTCTCGCTGGTCTCGCAGGCCCCACAGGTCCCACGGGTCCCACAGGACTCACAGGTGTCGCCCGTCGTCCCACAGGTTCCACAGATACCACGGGTCTGACAGGTTCTACAGGCCCCACAAGTCCAACGGGTGTCGCAGATCTCGCCTGTCACACCGGTCCCAGTTCCGACAGGTCCCGCAGATCCCACGGGGCCCACAGAGATCTCCCAGATCCCGCAGGTCCCACAGGTCCCACAGGTCCCGCCAGTGCCACAGGTCCCACAGGTCTCGCAGGTCTCACAGGTCCCGCAATTCCCACAGGTCCCACAGGTCCCCGAGGTGTCACAGGTCCCACTGGCCCCACACGCCACAAGTATTCCCCAGGTCGCACAGGTCCCACAACATCCGCAGGTCCCACAGGTCCCAAAGATCCGAAGTTCCCACCTGCCCCACAGGTCCCACAGGTCCCACGCGTCCCACAGGCCAGAAGACCCACAGGTTCCACAGATCGCACAAGTCCCACACTTCCCGCCTGCCCCACAGGTTCCGCTGGTCTCCTTTGCTGTTACCAGAACCTCTTTCCTATTCCAGCTTTGGATTTCAAATCCCATGCGGCCGCGCGAAGGCAAGAGTAATGCGTTTGGGGCGGGGGGCCGTCGTCAAAAATACCACTGGGCATATGAACGCAGGGCCCACGTACGTCATGTTTTGGAGATATCACGCGGCTGGAATATTTTCGTCGGACACTCCACACACAAATTCAAAGCTGAGTGGGAAAACGGCTCTAGGGTGCTTTGCGGGGGTAATGGGGTTCCAGATCCGCTATGACACGCGTCCGCGGATAGAAAATTAGCCTGGCGAAGAACCCAACCATGTGCAGTTGTGAGTGCCGCAATTGTGAGTATCGTCTTCGGTGGAGCTGCCTGGGAGCCACGAAAGTGTGAAAGATGTGCCGAAATGGGGGTGGAATCGCATGTGAACCCTGCCACTGGGGCCTGGGGCGGAGCCCCGTATGGGGCCACGAAACGTGCAGGGGTGTGCCAAAATTGGGAGGGGACCGCATGCGGACCCTGCCACGGGGGCCTTCGGTGGAGCTCTCGATGGGGCCACGAAACGTGTGAGGGGTGTGTCGAAATGGAGGTGAAACCGCATGCGAACCCTGCCACTGGGGCCTTCGGTGGAGCTCCCTGTGGGGCCACGAAACGTGTGAGAGATGTGCCGAAATTGCGGGAACCGCATGCGAACCCTGCCACTGGGGCCTTCGATGGAACTCCTCATGGGGCCACAAAACGTGTGAGGGGTGTACCGGAATTGAGGGGTGAACTGCATGCGAACCCTGCCACTGGGGCCTTGGGTGGAGCTCCCCATGGGGCCACGAACCGTGTGAGTGGTGCGCCGAAATTAATGTGGAACTGCATGTGAACCCTGCCACTTGGAGCCTTCGGCGGAGCTCCCCATGGGGCTACGAATCGTGTGAGGAGTGCGCCGAGATGAGGGTGACACTGCATGCGGAACCTGCCACTGGGGCCCTTCGACGGAGCACCCTATGGGGTCACGAACCGGGTGAATGGTGCGCCGAAATAAGGGTGGAACCGCATGCGAACCCTGCCACTTGGGGCCTTCGGTAGAGCTATCGATGGGGCCACGAAACGTGTGAGGAGTGCGCCGACATGAGGGCGGAACTGCATGCGAACCCTGCCACTGGGGCCTTCGGTGGAGCTCCCTACGGGGCCACAAAAAGTGAGAGGGGCGTGCTGAATTCTTGCCGATGGTTGATGGCGATGGCGAGGATAGTCGTCGCAATGAAGCTGATGAGGAGGAGGGGGCAGCGGGAGGAGGAGCGCGTGGCGCTGTCTCTGCAAAACAAGGACCCCACACAGGATGGTGGGAAGAACAGCGTCATTGGAAGGGGCGGGAGGGAGGGATAGGACGTCAGATGTGGCGCGAGCGCACCTCGCTCTCCTCCATCCTCTCTCCACTCTCCTCCCTCCTCCCTCTTCTCCTTCCCTCCCCTTCCCCCTCGTCTGGGCCTACAGTCGGAGGCTTGACCTAAGGAACCCAAAATAAGGAACTAGGCCCCTTTTTTCCATGAGTTAAACTTCGATTCCCGATCGAGAACATAAGGAAAACCTGAGGCAAGCTGCGAAACACTTAAGGAACGCGGAGCCCCTCCCCAACGAAAAGGGTTCCTTCTTCAGGGCCCCGACTGTATGGGGGGGGGCGTCACGCGCGGCACGTACAAGGTTGGCTGTGCGGCGTCATGCACTGTAAAGGGCGACCTGCGATCGCCAAAGGCCACACACCTAAATGCACGGCCGCTCCTTCCACCAGATGTCCGATTTCGACCAGCATATCTGGTCGCCCTGCAGCACTCCGCACTGGACCCGCCCAAGGAACACCATGCGGACGGTGACGCCCATCAGCTCCACCTTCGTGGCCGTCGCCCCAGCCGTAGGGTGGGTCCACCGCAGCGTCGTTCCAGTGATGGTGCACACCTGAGGCGATGGCAAAACCTGACCGCCCCCCTTGACACGCTCACATCGCATTTCGATTGTCAGAATTAGCTTGGCGAAGGACCCAACCATGTGCAGCTGCGCGCAACGCCGTTGTAGGTACCGTCCTCGGTGAACCTCTCTCTCTGGGGCCACGACGCGTGCGACGGGTGTGCCAAAATTGGCACGGGTACGCCATGCGGACGCTGCCACCGGAGCCGTCAGTGCAGCCCCATGTGAGGCCACGAAACGTGTGAGGGGTGCGCCGAAATGCAAGGAGGAACCAAGTGCGGGCGCTGCCACTAGGGCCTTTGGGGGCACCGAAACGTGGAAGAGGTGCACCGAAATGAAGGATGGAACTGCATGCGGAACCTGCCACTGGGGCCCTGGGTGGAACACTCCATGGGGCCACGAAAAGTGTGAGGGGTGCGCCGAAATGCGGGTGGAACTGCATGCGAGCCCTGCCACTTGGGGCCTTCGGTAGATCTCCCGATGGGGCCACGAAACGTGTGAGGAGTGCGCCGAAATGGACGTGAAACTGCATGCGGACCCTGCCACTAGGGCCTTGGGTGGAGCACCCTATGGGGCCGTGGAACGTGCAACGGGGGGCGCCGAAATGGGGGGGAACTGCATGCGGACACTGCAACTGGGGCCTTCGGCGGAGCACCCTATGGGGCCACGAAACGTGCGAGCGGTGCGCCGAAATGGAGGTGGAACTGCATGCGGACCCTGCCACGGGGGCCTTCGACGGAGCATCCTATGGGGCCACGAAACGTATGAGGGGCACGCCGAAATGGAGGTGGAACTGCATGCGGACCCTGCCACGGGAGCATTCGGTGGAGCACCTATGGAGACACGAAACGTGCGAGGGGTGCGCCGACATGGGGGCGGATCTGCATGCGGGCCCTGCCACTGGGGCCTTCGGCGGAGCACCCTATGGGGCCACGAAACGTGTGAGGGGTGCGCCGAAATCGGGGTGGAACTGCATGCGGACCCTGCCGCTGGGGCCTTGGGTGGAGCACTCTATGGGGCCACGATACGTATGAGGAGTGCGCCGAAATGGGGGTGGAACTGCATGCGGACCCTGCAGAAATTGTAAGAGCTTCCCGGGTTGAGGGCGGATCGTCTTCAAAATGTGGCTCTCGCCTTAGCGCCGCGCACATTCGTTAAGAAATTGCCAGAGTTTCACGGATTGAGGGCGGATCGTTTTCAAACTGTGGCTTTCACCCTAGCGCCGCGCACATTGGTTTTTCAAGGTTGCAAGAGTTTCACTGGTTCTCAGGGTAAACGTACCAGAAATTGTGTTTCGAGAGATTCGAGATTATGAGGGTGCAACAGTTACGTTGTTCCGCAATGTTGAAATCACAGGAAAGGCGTTCTGGCACGATTCAGGATCGTCGTGATGCAGCAATCAGACTGATCCGTGGCGTTGCAGTCCCAAGACTAATGTTTTGGTATACGTCAGGGTCTTCACACGGTTGTCTTCCAACGCGGCAGTTCCCTCAGTGGGAATGACGAGGGAGCTTAGGGGGTGGGCTTATGCAAACATCGTTCATGATTCTAGGGTTTACGTTGGTCCTCCTCATCCTCCTCATCATCCTCGTCCTCGTCCTCGTCCTCGTCCTCGTCCTCGTCCTCATCCTCCTCCTCCTCCTCCTCCTCCTCCTCCTCCTCCTCCTCCTCCCTCCTCCTCCTCCTCCTCCTCCTCCTCCTCCTCCTCCTACTCCTCGTCCTCCTCCTCTCCTCCCTCCTCCTCCTCCTCCTCCTCCTCCTCCTCCTCCTCCTCCTCCTCCTCCTCCTCCTCCTCCTCCTCCTCCTCCTCCTCCTCCTCCTCCTCCTCCTCCCACCTCCTCCTACCTCCTCCTACCTCCTCCTACCTCCTCCTCCTCCTCCCCACGACCCGAGAGGGGGAGGAACGGCAGGCGCCGCGCCCGAGGGTTCTCCCAGCCCCGCCTTGCCGCACCTGTCGCGCCACTCGCCCTGCAGGGGCCCCGGCTGCGGGGCCTCATCGGCGGCACGCGCCCCCGCCTGCGGGTGCTCAGAATGCGCAGGCCCTTTTTGGTGTCCGCTCTAGGGGAGACTGCGTCCACACGAATCCAGGACGAGGATAACTTCGGGCGAGGATAAATCGAGAATTTCTGAGATCTGGCGGCTCTGGAAGATGGCTCGAGCGCCGCGGCCTTCTCGGAATGTTCTGGAACGCTCTGAAAGCGTTCCGGAGCGATCTGGAAAGGATTTATTCCCGTCCTAGCCAAGTCCGACCTTAGGAGCCCTCGGGGCCCCTGGCGCTGAGAACACATTTGAGACAGGCTCTGGAACACGTTTGAGACAGGCTTTGGGCCAGGTCTGGGCCAGATTCGCCCCTGCATAAGGGAAACGGGAAGAACGAGGAGGGGAGGAAGCAACAGGAAGGGCGAGGAGGAGCAGGAGGAAGGGCCAGATGCAGGAATGGCTGGTTTCGGTGTCGCCGCCCATGGCTCCCAGGAACAGAAATCGAAGCCCGCCGCTCTCCTCCAGAGACGGACTTCCGAGTAGTGCGACCATGCAGTCAGAATTCAAACCAGGCAAGGACGACTTCAAGAACAACGTGTCTCGTCTGGGTCGCTGGCTGCGGCCTCGCGGCCTCGACGGCGACGACGGCGGCGGCCACTTTCCAGTTGGGCGCCGCCACCGCCCCATAGGGGCAGATCTTAGTCGATCGATATCACATGAGATGGGGTCGGATCGGACCGCATCGGCAATGCATCGGCGGCGGCGGGGATGGAGAAGGTCGGGCTCCAAAGCGCGCCGCATCGCGGCGCGCTGCTCCATTCCCCTCTGCTCTGGCCTTCTTCGGGAGGCCCTGGGGCCAGCTCCACCTGAAGGCCCTTTATCCTGTCCTCAGGGCCCCTCCCCTCTGGGCACCATCTGCGAACCCTCGACTCTCCAACTCTGGGGACCATCGGCCCACCTCGAGCAGGAGGGCCGAAGATCGATAGCCGGGCCTCCCGAGGGGCCCTCGTCGCCACGGCTGGATTCCCCTCGATTCCTCCTCCTCCTCCTCCTCCTTCCTCCTCCTACCTCCTCCTCCTCCTCCTCCTCCTACTCCTCCTCCTGCCTCTCCTCCCCCTCCTCCTCCTCCTACTCCCCCTCCTACTACCACCACCACCACCACCGCCACCACCACCACTACCACGACGACCACTACTACTACTACTACTACTACTACTACTACTACTACTACTACTACTACTACTACTACTACTACTACTACTACTACTACTACGACTGCCTGCTGCTGCTGCTGCTTCTGCTGCTAGTACGACTGCGATTGCTACTACTACTACTACTACTACTACTACTACTACTACTACTACTACTACTACTACTACTACGACTACGACTACGACTACGACTACGACTACGACTACGAGTACCTACCAGTACGACTACGACTACGACTACGACTCGACTACGACTACGACTACGACTACGACTCGACTACGACTATACGACTACGACTACGACTACGACTACGACTAGACTACTAACGACTACTACGATTACTACTACTACTACTACTACTACTACTACTACTACTACTACTACTACTACTAACGACTACTACTACTACTACTACTACTACTACTACTACTACTACTACTACTACTACTACTACTACTACTACTACTACTACTACTACTACTAAATACTACTACTACTACTACTACTACTACTACTACTACTACTACTACTACTACTACTACTACGACTACGACTACGACTACGACTACGACTACGACTACGACTACGACTACGACTACGACTACGACTACGACTACGACTACGACTACGACTACGACTACGACTACGACTACGACTACGACTACGACTACGACTACGACTACGACCTACGACTACGACTACGACTACGACTACGACTACGACTACGACTACGACTACGACTACGACTACGACTACGACTACGACTACGACTACGACTACGACTACGACTACGACTAAGACTACGACTACGACTACGACTACGACTACTACTACTACTACTACTACTACTACTACTACTACTACTACTACTACTACTACTACTACTACTACACTACTACAACTACTACTACTACTACTACTACTACTACTACTACTACTACTACTACTACTACTACTACTACTACTACTACTACTACTACTACTAATACTACTACTACGACTACTACTGCTACGACTACTACTACTACTACTACTACTACTACTACTACCACGACAACTACTACTACTACTACTACTACTACTACTACTACTACTACTACTACTACGACTACGACTACTACTACTACTACTACCACGACTACTACGACTACTACTTACTACTCTACTACTACTACTACTACCTCCCTACCTCCTACTATCCTACCTATCCTACCTCCACCTCCTACCTCCTACCTCCTGACTCCTCCCTCCTCCCTCCTACCTCCTACCTCCTACCTCCTACCTCCTACCTCCTACCTCCTACCTCCTACCTCCTGCCTCCTGCCTCCTACCTACCTCCCACCTCCTACCCTACCTCCTACCTCCTACCTCCTACTCCTAACTCCTACCTACCTCCTACTCCTACCTCCTACCTACCTCCTACCTCTCCTACCCTCCTACCTCCTACCTCCTACCTCCTACCTCCTACCTCCTACCTTCCTACCTCCTACCTCCTCCTCCTCCTACCTCCTCACCTCCTCTCCTCCTCCTCTACCTCCTCCTCCTACCTCCTCCTCCTCCTCCTCCTCCTCCTCCTCCTCCTCCACCTCCTCCTCCTCCTGCTCAACCTCCTCCTCCTCCTCCTCCTCCTACCTTCTCCTCCTCGCCCTGGGCAGGCCCAGGGGGGTGGGATGTGTTGGCCCCCCGACCCACGCGCGGCCAGTGCATCGCCAACGTGGGCCGTTGGAGGCCTTTTTCGGGCACCCGGGATCGTCAAAAATTACTGGCGACGCAGAACCAGCCCCTGGGGAAGGTGCCGAGGGGTCCACGGGCCAATCTGTGCCTCAAGAAATCAAGACGCTGGGCGTCTGGGCCTCCTCCTCCTCTTCATCTCTACAATCCTCTCTGGCCTCCTTTCCCCGATTCCTTCCTTCTAGAACAGGCAGAAAAGGCATCAAGATACATTCTTGGAGGTCCGCGCGGATCCGTTGGGTCGGCGCCGGACACCCTCCCATGGCGCCTGGGAGCGCACCAGAGACGGCGCCTGAGGCCCCGCCAGGAGGAGCGTATGGCCAACCAAAGAAACCCGCGCGGCCCTCCGAAATGTTCTGCTCGTGTTGTTGGCACGTAGCTCAAACTCCCCTCCCCACCCTCGCTCATTAGATCCACCCATCCATCCGTCGGGGACGATGTCCGACAGCAAATGCTGCACCTCCTTCGTCCCCCCTCCTTCCACCGCCGACAATTGTTTTGCCTCACCTTTCCTGCCTCCTCCTCGATCTTTAATTTCCACTTCCTCCTCCTCCAGCTATTCCTCCGCATGTTCTATTCATCCGCCTCTTCCCCCACCATTTCATCATCAGCAGCAGCAGCAGCATCATCTTCATCAGCTCCAGCATCAGCATCATCATCAGCATCGGCATTACGATCATCATCAGAAATAACACAAAAAAACGAACATCGACAGCGTTGCGGTCCCCATCGTCGCCATCAAATCCAACATCGCCAACATAATACACATGCTCATCCTCATCATCAGCAACATCATCATCAACATCATGAGCATGATCACGATCATCCTCATCATCATCAGCATCATCATCAGCAGCATCACCATCATTATAGACAGAATCGTCATCATCGTCACCATCATCGTCACCACCAGCAGCAGCCGCAGCATCGTCATCATCACCACCACCAACAACAACATCATCATGAGCAGAATTATCATATCCATCATCAGCACCATCATCGTCACCATCATCAATGTCGGCGTCATCAGCAGCATCACCATCGTCATCGCCATAATCGTCGTCGTCATCACCAACATCGCCATCATCAGCACCAGTTCAGCTGCATCATCATAATCACCACCATCACCGTCACCATCATCATCAGTATCATCATCATCATCACCATCATCATCATTGTCAATCGCATCATAATCAGAATCAGTATTGACATCATCAGCATCCTCCTCTTCACCATCATTGTTCACAAAATCATCGTCACCCATATCATCATGTTCATCATCATCACCATCATCATCACCATCATCATGATCCTCATCATCATTATCGTCGTCGTCCTCGTCGTCGCCCTCGTCGTCGACGTCGTCGTCGTCGCCATCGTCATCGCCGTCGTCATCAGCCTCACCACCAATACCACAGTCACCATCATAATAAGCAGCAGCGGCAGCAGCAGCATCACCGCCACCGTCATCCCCATCGTCGTCACCACCACCACCACCACACCCCCAGCACGGTCCCCAGGACCAAGGGGGGGGCGAGCAGGGACACCGCTCTTAAAATAAAACGCGCGCCGACTTGCAGGGGGAAAACACACCGTCATCTTCACCATCGTCACAACCACCACCACACTCGTCCTCCCCGTCCACAACGGGGATCTTCTGACCCGGGTCAATCCAAACCCGGGTCACTCGGGCCCCGCAGGATCCTGCAATATCCTGCAAGATCATGCACCCGAACCCGGGCCGATGCGCGAAGGCTCCCGCAAGATCCTGCAGGATCCTGCACCCACACCCGGGCCGGTGCGACCCTGGCCCTGCAGGATCCTGCAAGATCAGGCGCTCCGGCGGACCCCCGCTTGCTTCTTTATTTCCCCGCGCCAGAGAACCCAAACTCCATGAATCACCACGCGAGCGAGCAATCTAATGACCTCCGATGGCGACCCATGCTTCCATTGCGGACCACCGCACTCCTCCCCGAGGCCGCAGCCAGTGCCAGCCCCCCGCCTCCGCGGGCACCCGGCCCGCGGCCCCTCCGGGGCCGCGGCCTCCCGCCGCCGGTGCCGCTGCCCCTCCGCCTCCGCCGCCCCCTTCCCCGGCGCGCGCCTGCGGCGCCGGGGGTCCGCCGGCGGCCTCCGCCGCGGGCGCCTCCGGCGATCTGCGGATGACGATGCGGTGCACCCTGGCCTGGGGTCGGGCAAAATGAGAAACCGTTACAAGAATTACCTACAGTAGTGTGTGTGTGTGTATGAATTTGAATCCTAGGATTTACCATTATTATTAATAAAAAGTAATGATATTAATATAAATAGTGCTGGTAGTAAGAATAAGAACAACAAAAAACAACAGTAATAGTAATATCATACTATTAATGGTAAGAATAATAATACTAATAATCATAACAATAACAACAATATTAATGACAACAACAATAACAATAACAATACTAATACTAATAATACTTTGATGATGCTTATATGTCCCCCCCACACACACACAAACAAAAAACAATAAAAAGAGAAAAACAAAAAAACAACAACAACAACAACAACAACAAAAAAACGTCCCCTTACTATTTTTCACACTGTTTTACGATTCCTCCTGTAGAGGGACAGGCCCGACTTAACCCTGGCCTGAGCATCGTGTCAACGATCCTCATCCCCACTTGCATGGCCTTGGCCCCACGGCTTCGAGGGGCCCATCCCCCACTGGAGGGGGTGGGATGGTCGGGGCTGACGTGCCGTGGCCCTGTGGGGATGGGGATAGGTTCCACGATGCTGGTGTTAAGTCGGGCCTGTCCTCCTACAGAGGGATTTGGGACGAAAAATAAAAAATTAACAAAAAAATACCCCCTGGTCAAAAAATGCTTTAAAACAAAAAAAAAAAAAACTGAAAAAGTCCCCTGACTATTTTTTCTATGTTTGAATCTTCCTCCTGTAGAGGGACAGGCCCGACTTCATGCTGGTGGCCTGCTTCAGCTGCGCCGTGAGGACCGACGCGTGGCCGCGGCAGCCGTTCACCTCGATGACGTGGTCGCCGGGCCGGATCGCCCTCTCGGGATGCCCGGCGTTCCAGCGGTGGAAGAGGCCCTGCGCGTCGATGCGGTCGATCTGCAGGGCGGCGGCGTCCGCGCCCGCGCAGGCCATCCTCCCCCCGTAGACGGCGCCGCAGCTCCTGCGCGGGCGCCGGCAGCCGTGCCCCTGGCCAGACGTGTCCCTGGCCGCCGGGCCCCTCCGAGGGGCCACGTGGGGGGGAGGGGGGCCAGCTCCGGGGGGAAGCCCCGAGCTCGCATCGGCCACGCATCGTCGGCAGATCGGCGAGCAGCGCCCCCTGGCAGTTCCGCTCGGCCCTGGGCGCGGTGGGCCATCGGGCCCCACGTCGACGATCGCGGCGCCCTCATCCGAGAAATCTGCGGGGGCATCCGAGCTTGCGTGTTCGTGACAGTCTTCGTTCCCCCAATATCCCCCCCCGCTCGGCCCATCCCCCCGCTGACGTCGCCCATGGGGCCTCGGCTGGGGGCCGGGTGGCGGCCGACCAGGGCCTCCCAGGCAGCCCTGGGGACACCCTGGGCGGTTCGCAGGCCCCCGACGGCAAGAGCTGCTCGAGGCGGGCCCCCAGAGCCCCCTTTGGAGGTCCAAAAAGGGGCCGAAACAAAAAAACTGAGTTCTCTAGCCTCGAGGAGGAGGAGGAGGAGGAGGAGGAGGAGGAGGAGGAGGAGGAGGAGGAGGAGGAGGAGAGGAGGAGGAGGAGGAGGGAGGATAAATAGAACGAGGCCAGAGGAAGAGGAGGAGGAGGAGGAGGAGGTGTAGGAAGAGGAGCAAAAAAAAATGTGCAGAGAGGAGGGGGAGGAGGAGCAGAAAAGAGGGGGAGGAGGAGGAGGAGGAGGAGGAGGAGGAGGAGGACGACGACGGCGAGGAAAACGAGAAGGAGGAGGAGAGGATGGGGGGTCCTGTCCACCGTGATAGTGAATTCGCCCGCCTCCGCCTGCCGCGGCCGCGGCCCCGCCGCCGAGCTTGGGGCCTCCTTGGTTGCACGCGCAGGCGGGCAGGGAGAAGAGGAGGAGGAGGAGAGGAGGAGGAAGGAGGAGGAGGAGGAGGAGGGGAGGGGAGGAAGGGAGGGGAGGGAGGGAGGGGGGGGGGGGGGGAGGGAGGGAGGGAGGGAGGGAGGAGGTGAAGGAGGAGGAGGAGGAGGAGGAGGAGATGGAGAATGAAGAGAGGAGGAGGAGGAGAGAGGAGAAGGAGGAGGAGGAAGGAGGAGGAGGAACGCGGGAAAGGAGGGGGAGGAGGGGGAAAATTGTTGGGATTTGCGCTTGGTTCGATGCTGGTCGACCTACTCTCGCAAACTAGAAAGAGGCAACAGTTAATTCACAGCATTGGTCTCGCGTTTGGCGGGGTCGGGGTGCTTTCTATGCCCCTTGCAAGCCTCTCGCAAGCCTATGAAATTCTGGCACTGGGACATGCAACCACCCGTACTGCACACGAGCATCAGAGTGGAAGCATCAAAGCTGTATACACGCTATGACCTGACCACGCGCATCTCCAACGATGTCACCGGACACAGCCTTAAAACCTAGACAGGGCTCATTCCGAACAGTGCAGGACCCCAAGTCCACACGTAGACGTTTCCGCCTGTGGGGGTGGGGGGGTCCTCAAGCCCTGCCGACGCGCTGGGCTGCACTGGAATCGGGTGCCAAGGGTGGGCGAGGGGGGTGGGCTGAGAAGACCCCGCCAGCTGAGCTGGCTGCACCCGGCGCCTGGCCAGCCTGAGGCTCGCGAGCATACAGCCGATGACCCTCGTCGGCACATGGGTATGGCCTGCCCTGCCTCCCGCTGCAAGCCTTATGTCGGGCGTGTCCCCCTACAGGGGGATTTTCGACGAAAAATAATAACAACAAAAAACAAACAAACAAAAAAAAAAAAAAACTCAAAAAAAACAAAACACAAATCCTCGAAAAATAGTCCCCAAACTATGTTTGCATTACTTTGGACTATTTGCAGGATGTTTTTGATTCTTCGTCGAAACTCCCCCTGCAGCGGGGCAGGCCCGACTCGATGCAGGCGGCACGACGGCGACCTCTGGTGCCGACGCCGTGCCGGCGCGGCGGGCGAGAGAGAAGCCTCGAGAGCGCGGGCGCCGCGCACTCTGGATCCGCACGGAGCGCCCGAGGTCCACCTCCTCGAGGCTCGAGCTCTGCTGCTCAGGGCTGGGCGAGGCCGCAGGTCTGGCTGCTCGAGGCCGTACACAGGTCCAGCTTCTCTCGGGGAGACGTAGGACCCGGGTACGGGGGACTCGGAAATCCCCGACGAGGTCGTCAAAAAAATGACGAGGCCGAGCCTGCATTTTGACGAGGCCTCCCGCTGCAGACATCCCACGAAACTCCTCCTCGTCAAAATCCGAGTCGCGGTCGTCAAAAAACGATGGCGAACCCGAGTCCCGGCAAACCCGGGTCTTACGCTCCCCCGATTCTCGAGGCTCGAACTCTTCCTGGTGGCACCCAGCTTGGCCCCTGCGTCCGCTGCCTGGCTTCCCGTGGCGCCGCTGCAGGCTGCTGAGCGCAGCGGACGAGCATCCGGGTCTGCGCGGGCTGGGACAGTCGTGCGGGTCGCGTCCAGGCGAGCGCCCGACCGTACGCCAGCAGTGGCTTGAATGTGTAAACCTACTGCGCCCTGAAAATCAACTTTAGTCTCCGTGATCAGAGGAGCGCACGCGACAGCGACAGCAGCGCTCATACGGCGACGTACTCTGCTGCTGGGCTCGTTCGTGGAAGGAGATGCCCGACCTGACCTCGTACCCCGGCCATAACCTCACCCGAAGCCGAAAGCTTGACGAGGCCCACGCCCGCGCAATGAAATTCCGGTGCCCGTCTTGAAGATCCGAACCGTCACTATCACTACGCCTCTCATGGGCACAGCTGCTGGAGTGCCAGCCGCAGACCAAAACTCATCGAACTCACGCCCAGTCCCTGCTGGCGCCACCATATCGAAATCAGGAGCTGCCTGCACATCGAGCAACAAAAAACTTCTTCAGGATGGGACAGAACATGCCACACATCTCAAATACGATTATCTTCTCTGAGAGGCTGGGCGAGGGGATGCGAGAACAGCCGATGGTGGAGATCGGCGTAGTCATGTCAACAGGCACACCCTGTCAGTAACAGGCCCATGCTGCTGCAACCTAAACTTCTCCAAGATACTCTGGCACACAAATGCACAAAGAAGATTTCGGCGTCGCGGGGGCGTAGACGTAGAGTCGAGCATGAGTCGGATGGTGAGGTGATCGTATCCAACGTGTCGGTCGAAGGGATACCTAGCTTTTTCGCGGCGACCCGCTCGGTGCGCTTGTTCCAAGCCTGCTGCAACAAATCATGGATCAGCCTAACGGATGCGTCCGCGAACGCATATCTGAAGCCTAGATCCAGTTCCATTTCGAAGGGCGACAAAAACGTTTAAACCATTCTCGCGAGGCTGAAAATAGCTGCACCTGCTGGCCCCCGTACGCTCCCCCAGTTCGCTGGCGGTCGTCCAAGGGCGGCTCGAAAGGACCTGCCCAGCTCCGAGAGAGGATGCAAGCTGCAGAAACGACCATGGTTTGCCGCCTTCCAAACAAGGGCTGATCAAAGCATAACTGGGCCAAGGGCTTGCTTCCAGGGAGGATCTCCAAGCACTGCCGAGCAGATGCTCCCGGATCTGCTCTTGCACGAGTTTCCGACCAGAGAAGTACGCCGAGTCTGATCCGAGCTTAGTTCTGGGGGCGCCAGTCCGACCACCTCCGATCCATACAAGCCTTGAAGCCTGGAGGCCTTCTTCATGGGGGCACCTGTTCTTCCGGAGGCACGAAATCTCGGACCACGCTGTCTGAGCTTAGAGAGCATTTCAGCTAGCAACTGTGCTTTCTTGGCCTTCGAGCCCCACAGACAAATCGATGCCGAGGTTGGGAGCGGTGGCGACGGCATCTCCCGCAGATTTCCACAAGCTAAGCCTCAGCATGTCCGTGAGCCTGGGGCAGGAGGAAGCACGGACAGACTTCCTCTGGGCGACCCTGCAGGAGAGCCCAAGGGGCCCAAAAGAGGCCTCAACGACGCCCCCCAGGCGCCCTCAAGAGCCCTCCAAAACGCCCCCGACGGGCTTCCAAAGAAACCGTCTTTGATACCCTCCACGGTCGTGACGGGCTGTCACTCCTCCTGGGCGTCGGCGGGATGGCGTGAGCCACTCGAACAAAACCGGTCGGCACCGACGATGCTGCAGGACACGCTCCCGTCCCGGGTCCACCTCCTTATTGGCAGGTCGGGCATGTCCACCTACAGGCGGACTGTGGACGAAACATAAAAAAGAATCCAAACACGCTCAAAAACGGTAATCCAAAAAAATCGTCCTGAAATCGTCCCCAGAGTATGTTTTGACTGTTTCTAAACATCTCTCCTGCAGAGGGACACGCCCGACTTCACCTCATCAGCCCCTGCTTGCCTTCTCCCTTCACTGCGCGGCACGACCCCCCTCCCCCTCGAGGGACGAGCGCCCTGTGCGCCCGCGGTCCAGGCGGGAGCCCCGTGCTGTCACGGAGGGAGTGCCCACCGTGCTGCGAGCGCCGGGGAGTGCCCAGCGGCCCCCCCCCCGCTCTGCGAAGGAGCCGGCCTCCGTCCATGCAGCCCCCGTCCATGCAGCCCCTGCACGCCTTCCGTTGCCTGCCCTCGACGCGAAGCGCGAACCTGTTGTATCGTTACGTGTCCCAGGGCCCACGTAAACTCGGAGGTCGTGATTCTGGGAAGGAGATGAAACGTTCTCGACCTGGAATCCTAGCGCGCACTTGGATCATTACAGCACTGAACCAGCAAACTAGAAATTATAATATTGGGGATTGAAACTGACGCGAGGAACAAGGACACTGAGCCTTCGCAGCCTGCTGTCACCAACGGGACCGGCGGATTTGCAAAGATGTGGGACCACCCGTATCCATTTTGGCTCAAGCATGATGGTCACGGGCTTGAGCTGAAACTTAAGCCTACGTTCGCCCCACATCATCCCAGGTTTCCTTGGAGCCTCTGAGATGACTGGATGGGGTGCCGCGTCCCAGCACGGGTGCCACACGGCGTGGACCGAGCAGGGCCGCGGGAGCAGCGGCGCACCAGCGCCATGGCGCCAGCAGCAGGTTGGCGCGTGGCAGTGGTGGCAGTGTACGTTCTGCTCCGAATGGTGCTGGAACAAGAAGTGTAGCAAGTGTGGTCTCAAGCGAGGGTGGAGTACTACGTCGGCACCGTACTCCCACCACCAGAGCCTCCACCAGCCGACGTACAGCGAGAGCGTGCAATCGGGCCAGATGGTCCAGCACGAGCTGCGCGGCAAGATCGACCAACTCCAAGCGGATCTAGCAGCTGCGACGGCAGAGCCGAAGCCCACCAGCAGCACGGCCGACTCCCACAACCAGCGCTCAGCTGGCGACGCCCAGGTCAAGCAGATCGAGGCGGCCCTGAGCGCTCTACCACTTGCAGGCTTCGACGTGGAACGCAAGCAGTCGCAGGAGCGGCTTGCGGAGGTCAAGTTGGCCATTACGCGTCAGAGGCCCCTCGGCACACAGATCGACTCCTGCAAGGCAGCGCTCCTAGGGTCTCAGAAGAGGGTCTCCGACTGCCAGCAGGTGATCGAGCGCGCCAACGCAGCCAAGCAGGAGGCTGCAGCCGAACAGGCGCGGCTCCAAGCCGAGCTCGCCAAGTTACAGCAGGAGCTCCCGATGACGAGCGGGATGAACTGCATCCAGATGATGAACTCCGCGATGGACTCAGTCTTGAAGGCAATGCAGGACGGTGGAGTGGTTCCACCTCAGCACGTCGCGGAGGCCGAGAATTTGATGAAGCAGCTCTCAATTGGCATCCAGCAGATTGCCCATATGGCCAATACGACGGCTACAGCCCCCATTGACGAGTGCAATGGCACCCGCCGCTCTCGGCCAGACGAGCCCAACGGGGACAGCGAAGCCAAGGAGCGCAGGATGGTTGGCAAGGGCCCGCCAGGGGCTCCCACTTCCCAGCG